GCCCGCCTGCCCCGCGCCCCCTCGCTGCCGTTCCCGTCCGCTGTTGCCCAGCCGCCTGTGCTGGCGCCTCTGCGGACAGAGCCTCGCCTGGGAGAGCCCGGCCCAGCAGTCAGGCCCCGGTCCAGGAGAGGAGACACGGCCATCACCAAACTGACCGGCCGGTGTGTCAGGACTGAGGCGGGAGGCACAGGCAGAGGGCAGAGAGATGGGGAGGGAAGCTCTGGGCCCTGTGGGATCCCGGAGGAGGTGCTAGGACTAGTCCGGCCCATCGGACATCGCTCCCTGGACGGAGGGCACCTGAGAACCGGTAGACTAACAACAGATCTTACCTTTATACGGGGCCAAGTGCGGCGCCGGTGCCCGCAGCTAGTAGGTGGCAGAGCCAGTTCAAACGGGAGCTATGGGACTCCGGGGTCCCAGGGAAGAGGAAGAACTGTTTGCTGTGACTCCTCAGGGTGGGGTTTTGTCTCGTTCTCTGCCGAATCCTCACTCCCAGAATAAGGCCTGGCACAGTAGGTGCCAATAAATATGTGTCCTTTTATTTTAAATTAGTGTAACTTGACACAGAGGCTTCCTGTGTAACCTGCACATATGCGTAAGTAACAGCATCTCAGGTAACCGCAGGGTGTGAAGCAGGGTGTTGACGTTGGTCCCATCTTACGAGGCCAGGCCCAGACCTAATTCAGACTCACGGCAGGACTTCAAACAGGAGTCCTGACCCACCGTGTTTCCCAGTCCCTGAGCCCTTCCTGTGTTAAGCCTTGGACCTGGGTCCAAGGAAGATCCGGAAACACCAATTTTCTGTGATGCTAAGCAAGTCTGCCCATCTCTGGACTTCAGTTTGACCCTCTGAAACGGGCTTTCTTCTTCTAATACTGAAAACTAACATTTACTGAGTACCTGTTACAAGTCAACTTCTGTTAGAAATGCTTTGCACTTATTAATACAACCTTCTGAAGCAGATTCTGTTACCATTCTCATTTTACCAGTAAGGACATTGAAGCACAGAGAGGTGAAATGACTTGCTTGGATAAGTGGTATAACCAAAATCTGAACCCAGGCAGTCTGACTTCTGTGCATTGTAGCCTTTTAATTTTACTTATTTTTTTGAGTAATCATTCAGGTTACTTTATGTACTATTGCCATTGTGCTAAATGCAGCAAGTTTTGGCTTTAAAGATTTAAAGCTTGGCTAAAAGAGAAAAAAATTAGAAGTTGCCCCTTGGTGTGGAATGCCTTCTACCTTAGTCCTTTGGGGTTCTGCTTCCTTTAACTGTAAAATGAGGAGTTTTGAATAACTTTTCCTTTCCTGTGGGCTCTAATAATCTAAGATGGCCTTCCTTGTTCCGGAAGCTGCTACTCTACTTCAAGTTAAACCTTAGCAGCCTGCGAGGCAAAGTCATAGAGCAGGGCCTACTGATTTGGGTAGGGACTCTTCCCTTATGATGGCAAATCAGGGAACTTCGGTCATCCCTGTTTAATGATCCAGCCAGCTCTGTTCCTGTGATGACTAATGGATTTGTCTGTTGACAGTGCCAAGACTCTGCCATGGGTGAGGCATCCTAGACCAGGAAGCATATCAAAGGGGAATCCATGGGACTCAACTGCCTGCCTTCAGTTTGTATGCAGTCATTGACTTTAAAAAAAAAAAATGAGTTTTCCCATCCAAGATGGGAAAGCACATCTTCCCAGCTTTGCTTTTAAATTGAGCTCTGCTCTCAGCAGGCTGTTCAAGGCAGCAAGGACTCTGCCTCTGAACTTCAAGAGTGGTCTTAGAAGGAATCATGGGCTGGTGTTGATGTCTGTTTTTAATCTCAGTTTTAAAAGTATTTTATAATAGGATTTTGTTTTAATTTCCATTAGTTCTTTAATGATAGTTATTCCTTATGACACAGAAATTCAATATCGTGAAACTTGAATTTATAGGTATTTATTCAATCTATGGTATCTGTTTATTGAATTAAAGGAATAAGCAGATCTCTTGGCTGATGTTCTAATAAAATGACTCCTTCATTTGCTGCTGTATTCTACTTGTTATTTTTCTCTGTTCTTACTTCTTCAGTTCCTATAATTTTGCTCCTTTCCAAAGGCCCATGCCTACTACATGTGGGGAAGGAGGATTGGCAGAAATTGGCTGATATAGGCTTGTAATTTTCCAGGGTAGTAGTAGTAGCAGCAGTAGTGGTGGTGGTGGTGGTTCTATTTGTATGCAGTCATTGACTTTAGGTGGTAGTAGCAGTAGTGGTGGTGGTGGTGGTGGTGGTGGTGGTGGTAGTAGAAGAAGAAGAAATGTGCAACTGTCTTAGGATATTCCCAAAATTAAGGAAGATTCCCCCCTCCCCTGTGGATCTTACTTAGCCTTGTTCCATCTCATTTGGAAGGAAATTTGAGAACCTGGAGAGGCAGAGACAAGTCAAAGCATTTGCACGTCCCATTTATTCCACATCCAAAACAGTACCATCAACATTCAGTCACTGCCAGTCCTGCTTCAAGGAACAGATTCTTCATCTGAATGACACCCGTGACCCATCTTACTCGGTTTTGTTTTGTTTTGTTGTTTTTTCAGTAATTTGACATCATTGATCGACTGCCTCCTGCACACCTCCACTGAGGATCGAGCCTGCAACCCAGGCATGTGACCCTGACTGGAATAGAATCTGAGACTCTTTAGTCTGCAGGCCGATGCTCTAACCATTGAGCCAAACTGGCCAGGGCTCCCACAGCCTTTTTATCCATTCATCTACTGATGGGCACTTGGGCTGTTTACAAATCTTAGCTAAGGGACCCCCCACCCCAGTACACAAATTTCATGCACCAGGCCTCTAGTTTCATATAAATGGAATCGTGCCCTAGCCAATTTTGCTTAGTGGCTAAAGCATAGGCCTATGGACTGAAAGGTCCCAGGTTCAATTCTGGTCAAGGGCACATGCCCAGGTTGCGGGCTCGATCTCCAGTAGGAGTGTACAGGAAGCAGCCGATCAATGATTCTCATCATTGATGTTTCTAGCTCTCTGTCCCTCTCTCTTCCTCTCTGAAATCAGTAAAAATATATTTTCAAAAATAAAAATAAAAAAATTAAAATAAAAAATAAGTAAATGGAATCATGGACCAGCACCTTGTATTTAGTGTTTGTATGAGGTAGCATGTATGGTACTTCATTCCTTTTTATGGCTGAATAATATTCCACTGTAGAGATAGACTATGTTCTGTTTATCTACTCATCAGTTGATAGCTACTTGGGTGGTTTCCACATTTTGGCAATTCTGAATAATGCTGCTGTGAACATGTACATCCAAGTTTTTGTATGTATATACATTTTTTCCTCTTGGGTAGATACCTAGAAGTAAAGGTGCTGGTAATACGGTAATTCTATGTTTAATTTTTTTTTTTTCAATCCTCACTCAAGGATATTTTTCCATTGATTTTTAGAGAGAATGGAATAGAGTGGGAAACAGAGAGAAATATCAATGTGAAAGAAACACATCAATTGGTTACCTCCTGCATACACCCTGACCAGGCTGGGGAGGAGCCTGCAACTGAGGTACGTGTCCTTGACCAGAATCAACCCCCTTCGGTCTGGAGGCGGACGCTCTATCCACAGAGCCAAACCAGCTAGGGCTTATGTCTAATTTTTTGTAAAAACTGCCAAACTGTTTTCTAAGGGGCTTCACCATTGTACATTCCACCAGCAATGTCTGACAGTCTCCTTTTTTCCAAATCCTTGCCAACACTTGTTTTTGTCTGTCATTGTGATTACAGTCATTCTAATGGATAGGAAGTGAAATGCTAATTATTTCTTGAAGAAGCCAACCATGTATCCCATAGAATCCCCAGTCTGGATTTTGCTCATCCCCATGTATCATAAAACACCCTGTATCCCCTGAATTTCCTGTTAATTAGTATTCAGTTGAATGGTATCAAATTGCCAATATCCAACATTTTTAATCTGAGCAGATCTTAGTGCACCTCCCTTAGGGACAACAGAAGGAATCAGTCTGCTATTCTATCTGATACCAGTAAGAAAAAAAAAGTTGTTAACTGGTGATGTTACAGGGGATCCTTTCTGAGGTTTTCCAAAACAGTAATATGTATATATGGGGAAACTTTTTAAATAGAATAGAACAGGGGTCCTCAAACTTTTTAAACGGGGGCCAGTTCACTGTCCCTCAGACCGTTGGAGGGCTGGACTATAGTTTAAAAAAAACTATGAACAAATTCCTATGCACACTGCACATATCTTATTTTGAAGTAAAAAAACAAAACGGGAACAAATACAATATTTGTACTTGCATGTGGCCCGCAGGCCATAGTTTGAGGACCCCTGGAATAGAACAAAGGTATACACAGAGAAAAGACAGTCTCCCCAGGAATTCTTGTACATCATGGTGGGAGTGTGGACTGAGGAAGCAATCTGTGAATACTTGGTGAAATTGGTAGCTGTGACCTATAACCAGGCAACCTCTCTCCTGGGGATAGATCTATGGCAGACTCTATTCCATTCAAACTATTCACTTCCCTCCCTCACAAGAGGATTTACTTACTGCCCCATAGATACCAAGCTTAACCATGTGACTTCCTTCACTCAATAAAATGTGAGAAGTGTTAGGAGCCTCAGCACATGGTCTACTATTTCCTTTCCCATAGGGCCCAGAAATGTGTCAGATAGAGGCTGCCTCAGCCCCAGAGTGAAGACAAAGTGGAGCAGCCCCAACACCAGATACAAAACAAAGTCTGATGCATCAAAGCTGATCAAAGTAAGAGTCAGAGGTCTCTGGAGAAGTGGAAAGAAAAAAACTCAATGATATAAATAACCATTATGTACTTCCAGCTGTAAAATTCTCCCGGCCACCCCTTCCAGCTTGAACTCCGAAGTGTCAGGCGGAGATTGGTTGGGCACCATCAAGTAAATACAAAAATACCCAGGCTCTGTCTCCGGGCGCTGATGGAGAAGGAGAGGTCAGGCCTAGAAACAAAATGAGTATGAGGCATTAGAAAGGACTGTCCTACTCCTCTCCCTCTCCCCAGTGCGGGGAAATCAGTGGAGAAGTCTGCCTGAGGCTCCCCACTGTGACCTCTTCAAGCCCACAGATCTTCCAAAGAGAAGGTAGCAAGCAGCTCAAAAGGGCAGCACGGACTAAACTGAGTCAGAACTGAAAAGTGGGTTCCGGGCCTTCCAAAGACTCTCTCCTTATTTATAGACAGGGTAAAGGAGAGCTACAGGCAAAGTGTGGGCTGCCCCCACCCAGCCTGTGCAATGTTTGCAAAGGAAGTAAAGGGGTAGGTACCTCCCCAGCATAGACCGAAGGAGCAGATAAGACGTAAATCTCACTAGAGTCTCCATCTTCGGGGCGATTCCAATCTACTGACGGGCTGCCAGGAAAAAATAAACAAAAAATAAACAAAAACAAACAAAAAAAGACCTAGGCTCTTTAAATTCTCACATCTTGTTTTCCTCCCCCACCACGGAGGGGAACCCAAAGCCAACTAGGGGAACTGTGAGCTGACCCAATCAGACAAGGGCTGGAGCCGGGAAGGCCCATCAAGGAATCAAGCCAATCGCACAATGGAGATGGACGCCAGCTGCCCAGAGGAACAGGCATCCCGTTGTGGCCCAGCCGCTCACCTCGGGTCATCCCCGGGCCTCTCCTGCGTCCTCAGGTTGTTGAGGGCATCTGGGAGCGCAAAGACGGATGGATCCGGGGTACCCGCCAGCAAGCGAGACCCAGTACCGCGGCCAGGGCCACAGCGTCGCACATGGACCAGCAAGAGCGCAGCGCCGGCCAAACCTGCAGCCACCAGCAGCCCCAAGGCCGGCGGCAAAAGGAAGCGCTGCGGGCCTCCCTGCCTCAGGCCCCGCGGGGCCGCGGGCAAGGCGCCTACGCTGTCGCCGTCGTCGTCCGCGCCGTTGGAGTTAACGGGAAACTCGCAGCGCGCGCCCATGTAGCCGGGCGCGCAGGCGCAGACCAGGCCAGAGGAG